TTATTCGTGAATAAATTGCTTGCGAATAATTTATTCGTTATTTTATTCGTTATTTTAAATAATGAATAAAAACTCATGTTTAACACATTGAGCCACCTTTTACTTTTATTTCTATTGTCAAGGATTGTGAGTTAGCTGAATTCTGTTTACTATTTTATCAAGAATACTAGCCCATTCCCTCTGGTTTCGCGGCCCCTGATAAGATTTTTTGCGTTGGCCAATGCAAGAATAGCGTTGAAACCCAAATATGGGTAAAGTAAAAATTCTTAATTTAGGTTGAACAACTGAAGAGCAGAACCCTTCTCAAACATATTTCTGCCAAAAAATAGCGCTCTGATGCTATATGCAAGAAAAAATTCCTTTCAATGGCATGAGCTTTACCGATGGTCTTATTTCCACTTGTGAGATCTTTTCTAAGCGTGCGTAATCTTCTTCTATGATCTTGCAACTACAACATTGCTCCGATGCGTCAACCTCTAGTCTTATGTCATGCAGGCCAACAAAAGTCCTTATAAAGAAGCTGAAGAGCACAGATATGCGTTTTCTATTATAGGAGAGCCAAAAATCCTCGATGTAAAATTTGGCCATTGATATACCAAGAGTGGTCTTTCTTGGAAGGATGTGGTCGAAACTTTCCTTGCTGATTCGCCACTTTTAAAATATCCAAGAGCTGGTTTCCTTGAGTCTTACTGCTGCAGCAATCGCCGCCCTAGCAATTTCATCAAGCGGAGGTAGATTCAAGGTCGCATTTAGGGTGTATGACGACGTGAGACATCGTAAATTCGTATAAATAATATAAACATAAAAAACAAAGTAGTCCAGACATATGGGGTTTCTAATGATTTCGACTGCAGCACCATTATCCCTTTGAGAACCAATCACATTTTAAGCCAAAATTTTGATAAAAATGTAGGTTTTAGGTTTATTTCTTTTTAATGCGATATTGAATGATTTTTAAAATTTTTTCGTAAAAAAATTTTTCCTGAAAAGGACCTATCACAATTGTGTATATTGGGTCCCTACTATAAAATAAATACAACATTTTTTAATACCTCATATTTATTGAAAAATTACAATGTGTTTAACAAAACAATTAAAAATTAACTAAAAATTATAAATTCAGTCCATAGAAATTGAGATCATTTTTTTTTAAGTAATATTACTTGGTGTGATATTCTTTAAAGCATTGCTTATCTTTAGTAAGGCACAAGTGTATTTTACATTTTTGGCACCGAGCTCTGGATCGACTTTCGCATCGTGGATTCCGACACCTCTTTGCGGTTCCATCTACAAATTCGGGCCAATGGTCGTACCTATCGAACCTTATATCATCCGGAGCGTTATGTGGGCGATATTTACTTCCATGATAGTCCTCGGGCAACTCGAATGGTGATACTTCCAATGGAGAACCTTTGTACTTTGCCAGGACTTCGCCGATCTCCATTTTAAAATCAAGAAACTTTTTCATCTTATTTCTCGCAACACCGAGCGTCTTTGCGGCTTTTCTATATTCCATCCAGCTATTGTATATTGCCAAATCAAGAAAATGAAAGAAAACTTTGACTGGCCATTTTCTAGTTTTCGTTTTAATGCGATAGTATTCCATCATTTGGTCAGCTATATCGACTCCACCCATTTTAGAATTATATAATTGGACAACAGCGGGAATTGGGACTGGCAACCGTCGTTTTAGATTTCGCACCCAACGATTTACTTCGCCGATCGGGTCTTTTCCACATGCTGTTGAGGCAATTGTAACACATTTTGTATCACACCATTTAACAACAGCTACATTGTCATCTTTAACAAATTGGTGCATATCGCCACGCGCCATAGCTTTGTCTGCTGGAAAATTAATTCTTTTTCCTAAGCGATTACCCATTATGGTGCCTGTCGCCTTGAATCCAATATCTTGCAATTTCTCCAAAAGGGGTATGGTGGTAAAAAATCTATCGAAATAAAGATGACTTCCTTTTGGTAGACACTTAGTAAGTCTTAAAACAATTGATGGACCATGACCCAGTCCACAGTCAGGAAAAGTTCCAGCCCCTTGAAATACTTCAAAATCAACGACAAGTCCATCAGAGGTAGCACAAACCAGATTCTTCAAACCCACAGGGCGTGGTTTTGACCTGATGACTTGCCTGGCTGGGCATCTACCAGTAAACGGGACTATTTGCTCATCAATAGAGTATGAAGTAACCGCAGACGCTAGTTCATTGCATCGGCTTCTTACCAGGTCAATCACGGGCTGAACTCTCCATAGCTTATTCGTTTCGCTTGGTTTGTTGTTATCAACAAAATGAATGGTGTTTCTAAATCTCATGAATTTATTCCTTGACATGGAGGCAGCAATTATTTCGCACCTATAGTTGTCTTCCCAATACATTTTCATTTGTGGATAACCTAGACAGGACATTATAATGGCACAGCCATAAAAATTTTTTAACTCGGTTTCGGTTAAGCTCATTTCGGTGCCAGATGTCGCAAGAGTATACATTTTGGTATATTTAACCGCATCCGTGTAATGGGTTTCTGTGAAATACTTCGAAAAGTAATTAAGAGGTGTTCCAAGTTCAACGAAATTCTCACAGCCCTGCACGATAGGAATATCGTGAACCACGAATTCCTTTTTTTTCCAAAGATCAGTTCTTTGTGATGTAGTGGCTTTTTGATTAATTACGAAATTTTCTGGAATTAAATCTGCAAGCACAATAATTATTAAGATGAAAATTAACACGGTAAAGTGAAAATAAAAATTAAAGAAACTAGAAAAATACCTCTTTCAGAGTCATCTTCATCTGAACTGTCACTTTCTTCCATTTGTTCCAGCGTTAAGCAGTCATTTTCGAGATCATCGTCAGATGAAAAGCTAGCATCGGAATTCTCAAGTATGTCCAAGACCATTTGAAGGTCGGAATCCCTTGATAAGTCTATATTTTTTCCTGAAATTCATCAGATAACACAATTGTGAGTTTGCACGAAAACCATAACTTAATCCCAAGCAACACAATTGTGTTACCTAATTTTTAGTTCTAGGAAAAGAGCGACAAAACTGCAAAACAGTTATTATATCCATGTTGGAACATGAAATGGTACTAAGATTTACATGTAAACACATTCATATTAAAATTTTACCAGTATAGATAATAAATATTTGTACTTACTGCTGGCCATACCACTGATCACTCCGAGAGACGATACGCAACTGATTTTTGTTTGCTTTTGGCGCTATTATTTTCTCTTTATCTCATTTGCAGAGCAAAAGAAAATAGGTAACACAATCACTGCTTTTGGAAGTTTGAACCAAATTTAATTATTATGTCTTCTAGAAATTTTTAAAGTCACATCGCACAATCACTTAATATGGTTCTCAAAGGGTTATGAATTGCAACCTGATTGTACAATAAATAGGGATTTTCTAAATAACTCAACTGCAGCGCATAATCATTTTTCGCATAAGTATTTTTCATCATGCAGGAAGAACACATTTTGAATTTGAACGAAATCAGTTCATAAATACGGCTTTTATAAATAACTCGGCTCCATCGCCACCAAGGAGTTTTCCAGTAGCCTTTAATAGGACTTTATGCGCATGGAATAACCTCCGAAAATTTCATTTAAATCTATCCAGGGGTTTGAGTTAAATTACATAAATATATGTACATATCTATATACATAAATTACTTGTTTTATTATTATTTTATCCGTTATTCGAATAATTAATGAAGATAATAATTATTCGAATAACGAATAAAATAATTT